AATTCGGATTTTTGCCCATTTCGCCCTACATGCTCATAATCAGATAGTAACCAATTACCATTATTCATTAATACATTGCTCCAACGTATATCACGGTGCACCAGATCTAATGATATTAAAGCTGGAAATTCAGAAAATTACGCGAAAAATACAATTATTAAATTTTTTTTTGAGTATAGTCAAAATTTAATATTACCCTTTCCGTGGAGAAGATTTAATACATTGAGTATTGCCGAAATAGCATCGCATAATTCCCTCTCATTATGTGGTAAACGTTTACTACGGCATACTGGTGCTAACTGAACATAATAAGTTTGCGTAAATCCGTTACATTTTTTACTATGCTTCAATTCTGGCCCCTTTTTGGCAAATACTGCATATTTGGATTTTGATATTGCCGCATAGGCTTCCTTCAAAGTTTCAAAATCGCTATAACTTATAAAAATTCAAAAAAATTTTACTATCATATGTTTAAACCAATATTTACAAACCTATTTTCAAATTTAATGCTACTTACATATACGTGTTAAACCTTTTTATTTCCTTTAAAACTGTGTATTCAGAAAATACAGTAATATATGTATCAAAATTCCGTTTGATTTGCTTATATAACGGAATGCCATTTTCGGGTAAAAAATCGAGAATCGTAACCAATAGCCGAAATATGTTGAATGATGAAATTAAGACCTATGACCAATATCAATAAATGTATAGTTCTTAAATATATATAAATAAAAAAATGCGAATGATATTTCTACACTCATGTAGATCACTTTTTTAAAAAACTTTAATCGAAGGCATCTCTGATCAATTTCGACAATTTTTTTATTGGAATTCTACAAATATGCAGAATTCAAATGAAAAAGAAAATTCATCGAATTGGTCAGGTGGTTATCGAGATACTTTCAATCAAAGTTGGAGAAAATTTTGCGCGGCTATTATTTTGATAGACGGTTAGATTTTTTTAAAAAAAACTTTGATCGAAGGTATCTCGAAAACCACCTGATCAAATTCGATGAAATCCTTTTATTAGAATTCTACAATTATGCAAAATTCAAATAAAAAAATTTCATCGAATTTAGTCAGCTGATCGTCGAGATACCTTCGATCAAAGTATTTTGAAAAATATCTAAACGTCTATCAGAATAATAGCGCGGCAAAATTTTCTCTAACTTTGATTGATGGTATCTCAATAACCACCTGACCAATTCGATGAATTTTTTTACTTAAATTCTGCATACTTGTAGAATTCTAATAAAAAAATTCGTCGAATTTGATCAGATGGTCATCGAGATACCTTCGATTAAAGTTTTTTTAAAAAGGTGATCTACGTGGGTGTGGAAATATCATTCGTTATAAAAAAAATATATTTCTAATATTTACACTAAATTCTCCTAATGGCAATGTCAAATCATATTGAGAGCTAATTGGGACCAGCTGCTTTTTATTTGTTATTGCAAAGAACTGTAATGATGTTCCTCCTGCTGCATAGGATAAAAGATATGGAATTGGGCCATAGAATGAATTATTCCAATTACCCATATTCTCTAATAATTCTTGCCGTGCCTTTTCAAAGTCTGCCTTTTCTGTTGTTTCTTCTGATTTAAATACTAAAATATTCTTTATCCAGACCAAAAGATCCGGCCGCAAATTCT